AGTAGGGGCTTGTAATCCGGAATTTACAGTAGCTGTTTTTAAGATGCGTCACAAGGAAGCAGTGACAGGTTTGACCAAGGCTGAAGTGACAGCCGAAACTGTCAGCAAAGTAAGTTTTTCTCTTCACCAAAAGAGATTAATGTCATGAAAAAATAAACTTGAAACCTAAAACAGATAGTTGACTTGAGTGATGACAAAACTAGTAATCCATCAATTTGTGGTGTACAAGTAATAACACAATGAGATGATTACATTTACATTTATAGACATAACTCCAAAGTGGACCGCGACAAAACTCAGTTTGACACCCCTGCTTTATTTAAAGCATACTAAAAAAAGGAGACCAAATGGAGTAACTCATGCTGTGAAAGCTTGGGAAACCAACACTAGGGAATAATGTAAAAGTTTGGTGATGTTAGTGAATCACAGGCTGAATGCATCTCTTGCCTCATCCAGCTAATTACCATTTTAGGCCTAATTCTTATGTGCCTTAACAGGATTGTGAGACTTTTTTTCAATCAGTGTGTGTGTGTGTGTGTGTGTGTGTGTGTGTGTGTGTGTGTGTGTGTGTGTGTGTGTGTGTGTGCGTGTGTGTGCGTGTGTGCATGTGTGTGTGCATCTATTTGCAGGTGGAGAAGTATGTGTCTCTGGTCATGATAGCGGGCCAGTCTTTGAAGAACAACCAAGCAGTTTAATTTACCCAGAAGGGCTGAGTGAAGGGGAGGTAGTTCTCAGCTGTCAGGCCAGGGCAAGTCCAGCTGCATCCTACAGGTGGGTAATACCGTTCCAGTCTAGCCGACAGTATTGTCTTGGTTTTGACTCATGTTCACCCTCAGTAATCTGCAGTTATGTAACCCCCAGTACGACTTCTTGCTGTTTGATTTCAGTGAAGAAATCTCCCAAGAACCATAATTAAAATGACCGATTTACCATACAGGGGGTCCTCGCGAGTGATGGGTATATTTTTGATACTACTACTCCAAATGATATTGCTTTTGTGGAATACTGTTGAAATTGGATTTTTTGCCAGTCATCATCATGGGCCAGGAAATCTTTGCAGTCCCAGAACACACGTTATCCATTGTATTGATAGATAAATGGCACAATCATCATTGGCATTTCAATCACAGTGTGATTATCTGTTTGTGCCTGATTGGGAGCACCGTCTGGTATGGCTAAAGAGGCCGATCCGGGAGTGACAGTCCCTGTTGCAGTGGATGCACCTGAACACACAGTTGGAGGGAGGCGCTTGTTTGTCCTGGCTGTTCTTTCTCCTGGCTCTCTTGTCTTCTGCCGATGCTCTCATCTTCTCCTCCCCACGGCACAGACCACTTGCCAGTTCTTGTTTCCAGTTTGGGCGGTTCTGGGCCAGTGACTCCCATCCCTTCACATCTATCTCAACAGCCTTCAAGTCCCTCTTGCAAACGTCTTTAAAACGAAGCTGTGGGCGGCCCTGTGTTCTCTTTCCAACTGCGAGTTCTCCATAGAGCAGATCTTTGGGGATCCTGCCGTCCTCCATCCTGTGGACGTGGCCGAGCCACCGAAGGCGACGCTGACGGAGGAGGGTGTACATGCTGGGGATGTTGGCACGTTCCAAGACGTCTTTGTTGGTGATGTAGTCGGACCACTTGATACCAAGGATTCGCCTGAGGTTTCGCATGTGGAAGGTGTTGAGCCTCTTTTCTTG